TTTTTTTTTTTTGGTTGCAGCCATTATTGTTTGGCGGGTCCGGGCTGGATTCGAACCCGCCACCTTAGGTGTATGTGGCTGGCTCCTTAGCCGCTTGAGCCACAGGCACCAAGCCTGGATGCCCCATTTCAAATCGAATCAAGTTTTTTGTTCCTGCTTGAAGGGAGGAAGGAAGTTCAAATTAGAACTTTAGTTTAGCTCTTCCTCGAAGAGGGAGCAATGTAAAAGCTGCTGGGTATAAATGACTTTGAAGAAGTCATTTTGCTGCTATAAGCACCAGCAAAAGAGGAAGTTAGGTATGAAGTTAAAGGTGCAGGTATTGGTGTGGGAGTATCTGAGTGGTCCATCAGCAGGCGGTGTTTCTAGAGCTTGTAGAAATGCTTATAGTAGGTGTTAGGAGGGAAGATACCTAGGAGTACAGGGAGACCTCTGGAGAAATGGGTGCAATTTTTAAAACAGTGGGTGAGTCTACATTCTTGTAAAGAAGAAAAGGTTTGTCAGCTACACTAGAAGGTTTTGGAAACTATTTAGCTATTTTTTAAAACAGTGGGTGAGTCTACATTCTTATAAAGAAGAAAAAGTTTGTCAGCTACGCTAGAAGGTTTTGGAAACAATTTAGCTATTTTTTAAAATGGTGGGTGACTCTATATTCTTATAAAGAAGAAAAAGTCTGTTAGCTACACTAGAAGGTTTTGGAAACAATTTAGCTATGTGCTCAAGGCCAGGAATACTGTTGAGTGAGTGACTTTCATTCCCTGTCAGTCTCTCTAGGTGGCATTCAGAAATGCAGTTACTGGCTGGGCGTGGTGGCTCAGGCCTGTAATCCTAGCGCTGTGGGAGTGGCAGGTGGATTGCCTGAGCTCAGGGATTTGAGACTAGCATGAGCCGGAGTGAGCCAGAGTGACACCCTGTCTCTACCCACCCACCCCCAAAAGAAAAGCCAGGTGTTGTGGCGGGCCCCTGTAGTCCCAGCTACTTGGGAGGCAAAGGGCAAGAGGATCAATAAAGGAAGAAAGAAAAAAAACCCTCAAACTATGATGAATGAAAGCCAGCTGAAATTAAAAGCAAAATTAAAAAAAAGAAAGAAATGCAGCTACCTAGGGTATAAACAGAGAACTCCTAGAAAGTTAGATTTGGGGGTAAATTTGGGGAAAGATCTAAGACTTACTTTCCTTAGGTTTCTATTGATAGTTGCTGAAGAAGTTGGTGCCAGGAGTTTGGAGTGACTTCAAGTGTGCTGCTATAGAAAGGCTGCTCATCCAGGCCCTAGGGCTGGTCCCTGCTCTCAGGGTCAGAAGCTCCTTCGTGTTCGTCACAACCTGTTCAATCTCCTTGCATTTTCATTGACCACTAGATAGGGTAGACTTGCATGGGAGTCCAACCATGGCCCATGGCTAGCTATGAATGCTTATCTAAGAATTGTCTTGGACCACTCATTAAATATACAAAGACTAATGAAAGCTGCAGAACAAAAAAAAGATCCAACTTGGATAAGCGTTCATGGCCAGTGGTGGCTGTGGTTACAGTCCCCTGCTAGAGCTTCATAGAGCCTTTGACTTCAAGTCTTCACCAGGAAGCATAGCAGCTTGATCCGTCTTCCTTGGAGGAATAACAAACAGGACTTGTTGATGGAGTATGAACTCCCGGGTTAAGAAGCCCAAAGCTAGTAAGCAATGTTGAGTAAGACAAAGTCCTACTTTAAAGCAGTGAAGGCTTGTACAGTAGGTGGTAATAACTTGCCTCTTAGTAACTCTGTACTTTTCATTTTGTTTTGTTAAGACTAACATGAGACCAGAAAAGACATAGCATAGGAGGTCTGATATGAATTAGGAAGGATTTGTTTCTAGACCTCTTGCTCTGACTGGCGGCATCTTGTGAGCAGCCTCCACCTGCCCCATGTCCTGGCTGGTGAAAGTTCATCTTCCCATGGTTTGGGTCTGGGGAAGGAAGTGAACACTTCTTCTGAGAACAGAATAGAATAAATAGTAAGGCCATCAGTTCTACCCTGGCAAAGCACTAGAGGAGAAAAGATGAGCTTCGTGGTACTTATTTCTAGTAGGAAACTAGAGCCAAAGCTAAAGAGTGAGAAACCAAAGCTGAGTTCCTGAATAAAGAAATTTCTGTCACGATCTTCTGTACCTCTTTATAAAAACCATTTGCGTACTTGGGTTGATTGAGCCCTCTCCAGTTGACTGAGGGTCCAGGACTACACGGTTGGGCTAATGCCTCCTAGTGCTCTAGCTAGGAGTTCCATTTGTATAAAAGAAGTTTTAAAACAAGACCTACAGCTTGGGAAAAGCATAAAGCGATTAAAGCTTACCAGAAGCTGTGTGAGGCTAGCATCAAATCCTCAGTTCAGTTTCCAGTTGCTTTCACATGTCTCACTGGTGACTTACTGGGAAGTGATGAAAACCGTTGGTTATGTCAGTTATTATGGCAGCATTCCCAGCTTTCATGCTCCAGATTAACACCCCTTAGAGACTTTAACCAGAATTCCCTCTTCCCATTTTATACTTCCTCACTGAAACTGCTTAAACCTAAGCTGGAAAAATAAAGATAGAAGAGTTTATGAAAGGTAAATGGCCAATTAATAATCTTTGTTTTACAGACAGGAATTTGCTCTTGCTGGCTATGAATTCTGCATTTCAACTCTAGAGGAAAAAATTGAAAGAGAAAAGGAATTATCAGAAGACGTTATGTCAGGTAGGAAACATGAGGTTTTTCTGGACGTTGCTTTTTCTCCACGAAGTGCTTTACTATTTCGCTTTGTCAAAGGAAAAGGTCCCTGAATCAGGAGAGGGGAAGTTATCCACTTCAGAAAATAAGTGGCTGTATTTAAGGTCTCAGCATAGGGTTTGGAATAAGATGTTTTGTTTAAAATACTTGACCACTATTTTGGTCAAGTGCTTGGTGTTTGTTTTTTCTTTAAAGCCCATTGATGGTATGTTTATAATTTATCTGTTAACTTTTAATTATGAATAACCTCTATAAAATTGAGAAGCAGAAAGGGAAGGTTGTTTTCTTATTGCTCAGTTCACTTATTAATGAAAATGCTAATTAATTACCTTTTGGCCCTATATATACAGCAAGTTAAGAAAAAATAAGAGAAGCTCATTTTTTTGTTTTGTTTTGTTTTAGAGACAGCTCACTTTGTTGCCCTTGATAAAGTGCTGTGGCATCACTGCTCACAGCAACCTCCAGCTCTTGGGCTTAGGTGATTCTCTTGCCTCAGCCTCCCAAGTAGCTGGGACTACAGGTGCCCACCACAACCCCAGCCTATTTTTTTTTGCAGTTTAGCTGGGGCTGGGTTTGAACCCGCCACCCTCGGTATATGGGGCTGGAGCCTTGCCTACTGAGGCACAGGTGCTGCCCAGAAGCTCATGTTTTTTATAGTTGATCCTACACATTGTGGAGGTCAGGAACAGAATGAGATGGGCAGGAAGTTCTCCAGCTCTTGACCATTTAGTTTCTTTCTTTTTTTTTTTTTAATTGTTAAATCATAGCTGTGTACTTAATGCAATCATGGGCTACAATGTGCTGGTTTTATATACAATTTGAAATATTTTCATCAAACTGGTTAACATAGCTTTCACAGCATTTTCTTAGTTACTGTGTTAAAACATTTATATTCTACACCTAGTAAATTTCACATGTACCCTTGTAAGGTGCACCGTAGGTGTGGTCCCACCAATTACTCTCCCTCCACCCATTTCCTCCTTCCCTTCCCTCTCCCCTTTCCCCTTCTTCTTGGGCTATAATTGGTTTCATAGTAGGGCTGAATACATTGGATACTTTTTCTTCCATTCTTGAGATACTTTGCTAAGAAGAATATGTTCCAGCTCCATCTATATAAACATGAAAGAGGTAAAGTCTCTATCTTTCTTTAAGGCTGCATAATATTCCATGGTATACATAAACCACAATTTATTAATGGGTCGATGGGCACTTGGGCTTCTTCCATGACTTAGCAATTATGAATTGGGCAGCAATAACCATTCTGGTATAAAATATCTTTGTTATAATGGGATTTTTGGTCTTCTGGATATATACCTAGTAGAGGACTTAAAGGAGCGAAAGGCAGGTCTATTTTTAAATCCCTAAGTGTTCTCCAAACATCTTTCCAAAAGGAATGTATTAGTTTGCATTCCTACCAGCAGTGCAGAAGGGTTCCCTTTTCTCCACATCCATGTCAACATCTCTGGTTTTGAGATTTTGGGAAGGGGGCCAAACCTAATGGAGTTAAGATGATATATTAAAGTGGTTTTGATTTGCATTTCTCTGATGATTAAGGATGATGAGCATTTTTTCATATGTCTGTAGGCCATGCACCTGTTTTCTTCAGAGAAGTTTGCTTGCTTGCTTTTTTTTTTTTTTTTTGGGCAGAGTTTCACTTTGTCATTCTTGGTAGAGTGATGCAGCTCTCATAGCTCACAGCAACCTCAAACTCTTGGGCTTAAGCGATTCTCCTGCCTCAGCCTCCCAAGTAGCTGGGACTACAGATTCCTGCCACAATACCCAGCTATTTTTAGGAATGGGGTCTTGCTCTTGCTCAGGCTGGTCTCAATCCTGTGAGCTCAGGCAATCCACCTGCCTTGGCCTCCCAAGTGCAAGGATTACAGGCATGAGCCACTGCACCTGGCCTTGACCATTTAGTTTTCTTAAGTTGATTTGAAGTGTTGGGCATTTTCAGATTTGACATTTATTTACACGTATCCTATGCCAAGAGCTGACGAGATGCTGGGGGTACAGCAGTCCACTTAGTCGACTCTATTGTTGTTAATATAATATACCTTGAAAGAGATGTCTATCAAATCGTTTTCCTGTTTTCTTTTGAACATGTAGTAACTCCTCCTTATCTGCACAGTGAATGCTCAAAACCATGGATAGTACTGAGCTCTGTATGCACTGTTTTTTCCTATACATATGTGCCTATGATAAAGTTTAATTTATAAGTTAGGGGCTGGGTGGCTCATCCCTATAATCCTGCCCCCTGGGAGGCTGAAGCAGGAGGATTGCTTAAGCTCAGGAGTTCAAGACCAGCCTGAGCAACAACAAGACCCTATCTCTACCAAAAATAGGAAAAACTAGCTGGGCATTGTGGTAGGTGCCTATAGTCCCAGCCACTTGGGAGGCTGAGGCAGAAGGATCACTTGAACATAGGCATTTGAGGTGCTGTGAGCTAGACAGAGGCTATGGTATAGTACTCTAGTTTGGGCAACAGAGTGAGAGAGACTCTGCCTCAAAAAGAAAAAAAATTGCAAGTTAGTACAGTAAGACATAACAACTATAATAATAAAATAGAACAATTATAATATACTGTTAATTTCACAGATAGAAGATTCATTCTTATTGTAGATCTGAGCAATCTCAGCATATGATTTTTTTTCTGAATTTAATTAAATCAAGAATTTTGACCTTTTTACTTAAGGGAAGCACTTTGTGACTTTCCTTTGTCTTTTTAAAAATTTTTTTCATAACGTTACAGGGGTACAGATGTTACGGTTAATGCATTGCTTTTGTACAGTTTGAGCCGAGGTCATAATTGTGTCTGTCCTCCAGATCGTGTGCCCCATTCTGCCTGCTTCACTGCATTTTGCTACTGTAGGGACACATGCATGTCTATCATTTGGTTCCGTTTTAGAAGTGAACACATGCTCTGTGTCATATCTGAATCGACAGCATCACTGCTTTTGTGCTTTGTGGCCATTAGTAAGTAAAATAAGGATGACTTGAATGCAACTGTAAGTTGATCTGATAACCCAGACAGCTACTCAGTTACTAAGTGCCTAGCAGGTGGTCCCATATACAGCACAGGAACACTAGTCAAAGAGATGACGTATGTCCCAGGTGGACAGAGGAGGGCATTGTAAGATTTCAGCATGCTAAGGTAACCCAAGTGAGACAAACTGTTAAACTGTGTTACTGGTTTATTCTTATTATGAATGTACAGGAAAGCCTGAAGGAACTTGCATATATAATAACACCCAATATCAGATTTATGTGCCCCCCAGTAGGCCTGCTGTTTGCTACAATCTTTTTAAACCTCCAGAGCAAACTGAATTTGCTATGTGGTATACTAATATCCCTAGCAAGACAATAACCTGAGTTATAACAGAAAGAACGCCTAAACAGATAAAAAAAAAAAAATTTACTATGTGGCTATAGAAAAGTTAATTAATGCCTATGAGTTCATTTTTCTCTTAAGTGAAAGAAAAGTGATAATATAGTTAGGCCTTGAACAACATGGAGGTTAGATGAACTGACTCCCTATACAGTCAAAAATTTGTGTATAACTTGACTTCCCCCAAACTTACCAGTAGCATACTGTTGACCACGAACCTTACCGATAATATAAACAGTTGATTAGCACATATTCTATATGTTATATATATTATTATATATCATATTTTTAAAGTAAGTTAGAGAAAAAAGTTAATAAAAAAATAATAAAAATATATTTGCTAATCAGTAAGTGGAGATAAAGTGTCATAAGATTTTGTCAACATGTTAAGTTGGCTGAGGAAGAGGTGGAGTGGGGTTGGGTTTCCTATCTCAGGGGCGGTAGAGGCAGAAGGAAATCCATGTGTAAGTGAACTGGCATAGTTCACACTCAGGTTGTCCAAGTGCCAACTGTGTATACCTTATAGCATAATAATAATTCAACAAATATTAATAGAATGGCACATAGAACAAATGGTATGTATTAACAATAACGACTACAACAATAATTGATAGTTTTTATTTGTCAGAGTATTTTGTGAAGTTATCTGTCCTAACTAATATATGGACATTTTTTCCATAAAATTCAGAGAAATGTATTATTATTTTTTGTTCATAGAGACTGGAACCAATTTGTGCTCTTTCAAATGTAAATAACATTTTTTTTTTAAATTAAAAAGAAAGATTGCATCATGCTACTCAGAATGGCATACAGTTTAAACTTATGGATCATTTCTGGAATGTTCTTTTTTTGGGGGGTACATTGTGCTGGTTTTATATACAATTTGAAATACTTCTATCAAACTGGTTAACATAGCCTTCACAGCATTTTCTTAGTTACTGTGTTAAGATATTTATATTATACATTTAGTAAATTTTGCATGTACCCTTGTAAGATGCGCCGTAGGTGTGGTACCACTGATTACCCTCCCTCCACCCACCGCTCCCGCGTCCCCTCGGAATTTTCTATTTAATATTTTAGGGCCATGGTTGATTGCAGATAACTGAAACCCTTGAAAGTGAAACTCTGGATAAGGAGCAGATTTTGTTCTCCATCACTCCAGTGAAACCACCTTTATTAAAGTTACCAAATTCAGTAGTCGTTTCTCAACTCTTAACTTATTCATTAGACCTTTGACTCAGGTGATCACTGTGTCCTACTGGACACTTTGTTTTGGGTCTGGGGACACCTCACTGATCTCTTCCTTTTCCCCATCCCTACTTGTATTCGGGTTTTTTTGTTGTTGTTTGTTTTGGGGATAGCCTCACACTATTGGTCAGGCTAGAGTGCTGTGGCATCACAGCTCACAGCAACCCAAACTCCTAGGCTCAAGTGATCCTCTTGCCTCAGCCTCCCAAGTAGCTGGGACTACAGGTGCCTGCTACATTGCTGATATATTTTTTTTCTATTGTTAGTAGAGATGGGGTCTTGCTCTTGCTTGCTCTTGCTCAGGCTGGTCTTGAACTCCCTGAGCTCAAGCAGT